TATCCTGATGTGCAGTGGATCAGGCCGTTAATCTCACTAATTAGTCTGAACCCGAACCCGAAACCATTAATCTCAGTGAGCCTAATCTGCCCAGGATCCCAGCCTCGACGAGGGAACGGAATCCAGAAGGTGAGAGCCCCCCCCACGCCCACCCCCTTTCTGGCTGGTGTTTGTGAGCACCGCCGAGGGGCAGCCAGTCACAGCTGGTTTCGGTGTCCCTCCTCTTGACATTTTCCCCAGCACCAGTCTCTTAAAAACCTGCAGCAAATCCACTCTTCTGTGAAAAGCAGATGGCGTCCCGCTGGGAAGGCATCCCGCACGCTCACTCACGCTCCCGATGGGCGGCGCACAGCGGGTTCCGGTCAGGGAGGGTCCCCACCCTCTGAGGGGTGGGCCAGATGTGCTTTTCACGGGCCAGGGCGACCAATGAGACGGCATGAAGGATCGCCGACAAACTGATTGGGAGAGCCAGCTGTACAGATATAACAATGACCGCAAAAAGGGGGGGGCCGGGCAGGCGGGGGACTGTGCCACTGTGCATCTACGTGTCTCACTGCTGGGGCCAGTCTGCCATCACTCATTTCCAATGTCCTAATTACTCATCTGCACATTAACAGCAAATGGGCTGCAGTGAAACCTAAACATGCAGATCTGCCCAGCAAACCACTGCAATGATGCGCTTTTTAATGATATCATGTGTTTACACCAAGCAGGAGATTCAAAACCCTAAAAATACATCTTACATATTTCCAGATGGCGGCTCTTAGCTGAATTACCTCATCGATTGGGCTGAAAGACTGACAGATGACGGAGGCAGTACAGAGGAATGTGACGGTGACAGGACAAGCGGAGCAGGGCTGTGTTTCCGGAGGGTGTGACAGTGAGTGTGCGCTAATGAGCACGTGCGTCTGCCGGCGGGTGCAGCCACATGCGCACTAACACTGCTGATCAACACGGAAAATGCAATAAAATTAGCACACCTACATCTCACCCGGAGTTAATTAATGGATTTTAAAAGGGTCATTAAAAACTTAATAGACATCACTACAAAACAGGGTTATGAAAATCCACTCAAAGTCGGGGAAAAAAATTGCAACCAGCGCTGAACGGCGCAGAGATTGCAGATGACGCTGTCGCATTCCCGCCACGTTCCTGAGGATAGACTAACCACCCCCATCGAGACCCATTGTCCTCGTCGTGCTGCATTCCCACTGCGAGCCACAGGTGGTAGCGCTGAGACGCCCCCGGGGACTCCACAGGGCCAATAAGCTTGTTAATAACCTTTGGTTTCATTAAGGTCCATTATGGTGCGTGATTAAAATCCATTACTGCTGCCAGAGGGACGGCGGGAGGCCAGCGTCGGTTGAAGGTGACCTTATCACCATCATCGCTATCATCATCCCTGAGGCTGATCCCCGCCCAAGAATGACTGTCCATTACAGCAGATAGGGGGTGCTGTCCATGTGACTGGCCTGCCTGTCTGCTACAGGAGCAGATCCAATACCGCTCGTCCATGCACACGCCCAGTCCTTCAGAATAATCCCAGGCTGCGTCTCTCTCCTGAAGTATTTCTTGGGTCCTTCCCGTCTAAGGGAGTCGTGCTTTAACATAACCACTGATAATTTGTGATGAATTTTTGTCAGCCAACTAGTCCAGTGACACTGAACTGTATCGCTAAGTGCAAAGGGGGTCCGAATCCCACCCCCAGCCCCTCATAAGCCAAAACTCATCGCAAATTCCATTTCCAACAATTCGGAGGCTTGAATAATCCAAAAAGGTCAGGGGATGAATACATTAGCGACCGCCGCCGTGGGGCCTGCTCGCCAACCCCCCATGTGGACGTCTGGGAGCGGCGCAGATTAAACCGTAAGCATCAGCAAACTGCAGGAAGACAGCGTTTTTCGGGGAGCACTGGTGCTGGGAAGACTGCCAGCAGCAGCCTGTCGTTTAAACACTGTAAGACAAGCAAACTATCTGAGGAGACAAACACCACAGCCGCTCGGCTTTAGCTGGTGAGACTGGATGAAACATCACATGAGCAGCTGTCTGGGAAATGGCACAGAAAAGCTTTTACAGTGACACTGTTTAGGGTAGTTTACAGTGACACTGTTTAGGGTAGTTTACAGTNTTTACAGTGACACTGTTTAGGGTAGTTTACAGTGACACTGTTTAGGGTAGTTTACAGTTCCTGCAGCAGTAAATTTACAAAGTCAGTCGGGTGAAGAGTATCCGGGCCATATAAACTGGAAATGAGGGGCCCACAAATGACGACGTATTGGAGAGAAGAAAGGGAAGGAGAGGTGGAGAGAGGGAGGGAGAGAGAAGGGAAGATGAGGGATTGGGGAGAGAGAAAGAAGGGGTAAGCAATGGGGAAAGGGAAGGATAGAGAGAGGGAGAGAAGGGGAGAAATAGGAACTGAAGGAAGGAGAGAGGGAAGGAGGCAGCACTGCGGTGCGGAGACGCAGGTGGGAGATCTGAGGGGAGTTTCCTGGCGTGTGTGTGTGTGTGTGCGCATGTGTGTGTGTGTACACATGTATGTGTGCATGCGTGTGTGTGTGCGCGTGTGTGTGTGTGCGCGTGTGTGTGTGTGCGCGCACACAAGCCAGCGCTTCGTCCATTACGGCCGGACTATTTATAGCACTACAATGAATCATGGGAATTATTCAAATCAGCCCGGAGACAATCGTTTTTACGGCGACTAAAAAATTAACCTCCGCTAAGCATCAAGATCATTCAAAATGAAGCACAGCCAGCGATTCTGAGATCTCTGACACAGTAGAGACTAATTATGAAATATTAAGGGACATCATTTATTAGGAAAGGGAACAAACAGGAAGCCTGCCTTTGTCTCTCTAAACCACAGCAATGTGGGGAAAAATGCAATAAAATAACATGCAATGACAACACAAGCATAAGTTTATAAGCGTTTTTCCAATAGCCACCAACGAGGGGAAGGCACAACGAGGGACAGGGACGGGGCCAGACATCCCAGAAGATGACAGGCCGACGCAGAGCTGACAGTTTTGGGCAGAATATCAAGGCGGTGGAACAGCAGTGGATGCCTCAGGATGGTAGGGTCACCGTGAAGGACAAGATAGGTCACCAGGCTTTAGGAGGAATGTGACAGGGAGGGGTGGAATTACAGTTCACGTAGTACAGGGAATTGACAGTAGGGGGAGCCACCTGTCAATCCACACAGGGCAGGGTTCGTTTACTAGGGGAGGCAGCCGTCTTCCAGCTTTTTCTGCACAGCTATATCATCTCTTAGGGTCACTGCTGAGCTCCGAACAGATAGGCTGAAGTCAGCAAGCACGTTTACCCAGGGGGCTCTTGGCGGAAAAACGTCTAATAACTCCCCCCCACCCTCCCAACTGTCGCTCCTTGACTCTTCCGGCCAGATAATGTGCCAGGTGCCTGAATGCCGGCTCCGCTCGCTCCAATAATTGCACAACAAGCCCGGCACCATGCCGTCCTGCTCTGGCATGGCGGGACGAAAACTCTCGTGTGTTATTTCGGTGCGTTTGCCTCGTGGCGTCGTGAGCTGAAGGTGCTCCTCGGGCGTCAGAGCCGAGCCGGTCGTGCGAGACCCTCATGTGCGTCGGCCGCCGTGGCGAGACACGGATGCGCTGCCGGGGCTCAAAACGAGAAACAGGCCCCGCCCCAGGGGGTATCGTGGCATTGCAGGGGCATGCAGGTTGGGGAAGCGAGGACCGAGGCCCCCCCGAGACCAAAAGGCCGTGTCGCCGTCCGGCACCATAACTTCCCGTCGTACATCCTTCCGGAAGCATCCTGAGTAGCTGAGGATCAGTGGCAGGTGGTGCGCTTCTCCAACAAGGCTGCGGGTCTCCCGATAGTAAGACACATTAATCTACATCTTTCCTGCTCTCCTCAAGGCTGATTTGCGTGTTCCTCTTTCTGCTCACTCGCTCCCGGCCTTTTCATCACGCAGCCAATCTCATAACACGCGCGGCTCACATTCCGCAGCCGGGCTGGATGAAATGCCA